GGGCGGGGCCTCGGGGGCGGGGCCGCGGGGAAGGACGGAGCCCAACGGGGAAGGGCAGAAGGCGTCTGCACCCGTGCGGCACCTGAGCACCGCGAGTGGGGCCGAGGGGCACGTGGCTCCCCGGCCTGCGAGCTGGGAGGCCCTGGCCCTGGGTCTCACCCAGGCTGCCCCGGGATGGGTCGTGGAAGGAGGGTACTCGGTTGCTACCCCTGCCCTCCCTGCTGCTGGCCTTCGGGAGAGAAGCAGAAGGCCGAGGAGCTCTGCCCGGGCCCAGCCGGCCTTCGCCGTGCGAACTCCCATCTTCCGAAAGGAAGGGAGACTGGCCGTCGACAGCGAGATCGGTAAATGCACCCACCCCGGCAGACTCGGGTGCTCGTGCCGAGTACTGCCCAGCACGCCGCGGATGGCGCTTCCGGGTCTGGACCTGAGTCGCCATCCAACACCTGAGTCAGGTCCGGCACAGCGGCTCACGCCGGGGTCCCGGCTGTCTAGGGGTAGAAAACAAGACGGCTATGGATGGCTGGCGGCCAGTCGGGGCCAAAAAGCAACTGAGACCCCCATGCAACCTAACAAGCTGGGTGTGGGGAGGAGGAGAAGGAGGGGAGGGGAGGCCGCGGAGCCCGGTGTGCAGATGCGGGACAGGCCCTGTCCCGGGGACTCATTCACTGTGTCCTGGTGCTGGGCTTCTGGGAGAATCCCCGTCTGAGTCCAGCTCTTGCTCTTCAGAATATCTGCCGGGATCGCAGTGGGCAGGGCCACGTGACCGGAAGACACCCTCCTCTCCCTCACCCCCTCCCCTGCCCGGCTTCCCCATACAGGTGCAAGGCCAGCTCCAGACTCCCACTTCCGGGCTTCTCAGGAGACCCAGGCTCCACCCACATCCGGGCTTCGAATGAGAGGCTCCTCCCACAGGGCCAGTCCTCACCCAAGCCACAGCCTTGCTGGGTCACTTACTTGACAGCGACGGAAGATGTCACTTTGGGATTCTTGGACTTCCGAAAAATCTGACCATCCTTGAGTCAAAGCCATGGAAGGGCAGCAGACATTTCTGGAGCAGGGGAGGGAGCCCCTGACATGTGGAGTGCCCAGTACAGTTACGGTGTAAAGCAAGGGAGGGAGGAGGTAAGGCGCAGGCCCAGTCCAGAGACAGCAATGGGTGTTTGTCCCTATGAACCTGTGTGATCCATTTCCCCCAAAACGACGTGGCATGGGTAGAAACCACACAGGGCCCTTAATTGTCTGGGGATCTCTGGGGGTCAGGGGTCAGAAGCGGCCGCCTGCAGAGGTCTGGGGAAGGCGTTCCTGGCGCCACAGGGCACGGGTCAGGCCAGGCCAGGCGGAGCTGAGGGCTGGTGTGGCAGGGCCCCGGCCACGCTCACCACCGTGTGAGGTGCCGTGTGCTGCGCTCCTGGCCTCCGAGGGAAGATGATCGGATGTGCCCACAGTAAGCACCAGCGAACCACCAGGGCCTGGCAGACAGGCCGTGCTTCCGGGCACAAGAAACCCCTGGCAGCCCCTGGAACGGGCAAGAATTGTGCCCACCCGCCAGGAGCAGGGTGACGTTGCAGGCTTGCAGCAGCAGCCAAACCTGCCTGGGTCTGTCTCTATCGTTTAGAAGCGGGAACTGGAAGAGAATTCACATACAAACTGCACACACATCTTGGGTAAGTAAAAAAAAAATCACCCAAAGGGAGGGAGAAACACTAGGGATCCTTAAAAGATCCAAATGTCCCTTTTCTCTCCTTCCATCTCTAACCCTCCCCTCCGTTTCCCTCCTTCTCTTCCCCTTTCCACCCCTTCTCTCCCCTTCTTCCCCTCTTCTCCCCTCACCCCCCTTCTGCTCTCTCCTCTCCTCTTCCCCTCTCCCTCCTTCTCCTCTCCCCTCCTTTCCCCTCTCTCTCCCCTCCCTTCTGATGCTCTCCCCTCCTGACCTTTGACCCTTCCTCTTCTCTCCATTTCTTGTAATGGCTGGGATGAAACACATGAGTCACCGAGCTCAGCTTTTAATATTGAGATGTCATATCAAGGAATATTTTTTGTCCTGGTTGGCCCCCCACGTGGCTGGGATGACAGGCACACACCAGCTAACAGTTGAGATGCACATGAAGCTACTGGAAAGTCACAAAGAGGTCTTCCTATTGGCATTTCTTCTTAATTGAAGTTGGATCGACAAGAACATGGCCGTGGCAGGGTTGAAGCCCAGGGACCCTTGAACAGGCCACTCGTGAATGCAACAGTGCCAGTGCCAGATGAACATGATGGGGTAGAGGCACAGACTAAATGATGACAGTGTGTGTGTGTGGTGTGTGTGTGTGTGTGTGCAATCATGGACTTGAACTCAGGGCCTGGACACTGTCTGTGAGCTTTTTTTCTCCAGGCTAGTACTCTACCAGCTTTTTTGGTAGTCCATTGGGGATAAGAATCTCACAGACTTTCCTGCTTAGGCTGACTTCAAACTGTGATCCTCAGATCAGCCTCTTGAGTAACAAGGGTTACAGGCATGAGCCATGGGTGAGGCAGGAAGGGGGTTTTTAAGGCATTCACCTTGGATCTCTCTACCCCTCTTCTGTGCCTCTATAGGAAGAGGCGGGACCTCCCTTGATTGACAGCCATTGGTTCCAGTCTCTGTGCCTGAGAGTAGCTCCTTGCCCTGTGCCTGCCCAATCACGTTAGTGAAAGGCTGTAGGCCTTGGCACCCCAGGACTGCAGCCTTAAGCTTTATTCTCCCACTAAGGAGCTGTTTATGTGTTTATCAGCCTGCTCCCTGAACAGGGCAAGGGAGGAATTCCTGGAGCCAGGACCTGCGGGAGCTGAGAAGACCTCTGCCTCTCTCAGAGCAGCATCAGGCCACGGGGCGGGGTGCAGGGTCGCTCCCCTGTCACAGGCCACAAGCCTGCTGCTGGCCTTGTCCACGGGGAGTGCTCTGGGCACACATGAGTTTCGAGTGGCCAGGCTTCCCAGCCAGCTGCTGTGTGAGGGGCAGGGGAAATGGGAGGGGGCTCTGCTTCCCTTCTGGTCATCTGGAAGAACTGGGCTTCTGCAGCCTCAGCCTGCAGAGTTGAGTTAGAGGGAGGACACTTGATTCGTCATCCTCAAAGACCAGCCGAGATGTGAGAAGTCCAAGCTCTGGAAGTGAATCGGTTTAAACCCTGGGCGCTGGAGGTGGTTTCTCTCAACACTTGCCTTTCTCTCTGTAGAGATGGAAGTATTTCTCTGTTGTCCTGCAAGTTACATGGAAAAGATTATGAACGTTGTCTGCCCCCACATGGAATGAAGGCGCCAGGTTGGATGACATAAATAGAAGCCTTGGCTGAGATTTGGGAGGAATTCAAGCCCAGAGCCCCAAAGACAGTTTCAGAAGAGAAAACTTCTCTCCTTCCAACTGAGGTGCTCTGTGCGGGGTTGGAGGATGAGTCAGGAGATGAGCGGTGAAGAGCCAGATCGCTGGGAAAATGATGGCCTGTGAGAACTCTGGAATTAGATGAGAACGGGAGCAGACACCGACACGGATACTATTTCCACTCAACTTTAGAATTATTTATTGCAGGGAACTCAGAGTGATCTTGTGATTGAACATTACCTCAGTGGCCCAAGCCTCTCCTTATACTTGCTAATAACCTGGCATGAGAAATCTAACTGAAAACATCTGTTAGAATGGAATATAATCATCCCAGTGTGTTTTTGTTATGTTGCTTATAATACAGTCCCCAGAGAGACCCCTGAGTTGCTCTCCCAGTCAGTGTACGTGGCGTCTATGCAGAATGGCGATATGCCTTACTTTCTAGGTCAAAATCAAAACGACTGTTCTTTTCCCTTCAAACCCACAGGGGTGGACAGGCCCCGCCCTGCCTGGCCCTGCCTGCCAGCTCAGCTTGCTCTCTTTCCTCCTAAGGAGATCCAGGCACTCTGTGTCATTCCCAGGCTCTGCCAGGTGATAGATGACCAGGCGCCTTTCAATCTCAGTAATGAGGGGCAGCTGAAGCTTGGGTAATCGTATCCTACTGAGTTTACGGAACGTTGCCAAAACACCCAAGGTACTGAGGTTTGGCAAGTGCGTTTAATCACAGCAAGAGGATTACCAAGTGCGGAATGAGTTGTGAAGCAGCTGTGAAATGGGCAGTGTAGACACCAACGCAGGCCCAGAAGCAGCTCACGTTTGCAGGGGACTGGAGTCACAGCTCTTCAGTCACGTCACTGCAGCCAGGGTGGGCAGTGCTTAGGACCCGTGGGAGAGAAAAGACAACCAGGGTGATTGGCTCTGGGTCTCAGACCCCACCGTGTGTTCAAGGAGAGCTGGGGACTCCGCTCAGGGCTGTGGACTCCCGCACCAGACTTCCCTGATCATTCTGGTCTAAAAATGGGAACAACAGTGGCTGGCTGGCCAGGTTTCAGAAAAAAGAGACAGGTGGCACGCTTTGCTGACCCATGATGCTCTCTGGTGAGAAATGACAGCTGTCCATGGTGATTTATCCACCAATAATAATAACATAGCTTGTATTAACAGCCAGGGCAGGCTCCCCACTCATCCAATGTTTTATGATCTTGGAAAGAATAAAGGTGATTTGTGACCGGCGCAGACATGGAATTGCTCAGTTAAAAGCCCAGCTTTACAGGTCTCTTTCCCTTCTAGGAATAAATCTAGAGGCTCCAAGGTGATTCTATTAGTCTTCCAGTTGTAGAAGGAACTAGAAGACAGAAAGGGCTAAGGGGCTGGGAGACGCCAACATTGTGTGTCCAGCATTCTGTTTTTTATGGTTCTCCTTATATATGTTCTTGGATAAAGTAAGACTATAACACCAAAAATCCACACCACGAAGCACAAGTTTCTACAAGGCAAATTTGTTCTGAAGAAAGTGCAAATGCAGACTCGTGTCAATCTGCTAACGCCATGCTAGGCCAAGCTTATTTTTATTACATACATTCTGCATTCTAAAGAACTAGTAACTTCATATTGTAAACATTAAGCATTACAGAGTTAAAATTCAAGGCCACATTAGATCATGGATTGTCTCTTTTTGTGTGGTGTGTCTTTGGCTGGCCGAGATCAACTCGTAGTGTATAAATGCATAAGTTATATAATAATTATATAAAAAAGGAAAAAATAAACAAGAACAAACCATTGACTTGAACACTTCATTCTGACAAACGCACAGCGTTTGCGACTCGAAGAGGAAAACTGGAGCCTGCCTACCCACAATGCCTGTGTAGATCTGTGATGATGGTGGCCACTGGGCCCCCTTTGACCTGACCTGGTGGAGGACACCGCCCCTCCCCCTGCCAGTGCTGAGGTCCTGAACGTTTTTTAAATATCAGACAATTCCAGTTAAAGTTTTCTTTGACAATCAAAGAAAGAGATGTGTATTTGGGGTTCTGAATTCTGCTCCCTCCCTCTGTCCATGAGGCGTGCTGCGTCCACCCTCCTAACTCTGCCATTACAACGTGTCCGAAATCCAGACTTCACTGCTCAGGAAGTTTCTTCCCCAGCCCTTGCCTCCTCCTCTTCCTCTGTGCCCTCTCCTTCCTCCTCCATCCCTTCATCCATACTCACACTCATCTGTCCACATCCCCAGCCCACCGTCTGGCTTGGCCTTCTGTAGTACTGTCTAGGAGATGGAAACTTTGGGCTGTCTTCACAGTGTGAGACAGCGAGGCGCCTTCCATCAACTGCGAGGTGTCTGACTGAACCAAAACATCAACCCAAGATGTTCCGTGGCGAACATCTGTTAAGGTGCCCTAGTTGCTCGGTCTGTCTTTCTGTCACTCTCTCTTTCTCTCTCTCTCCCTCTTTCATTCCCTCCCTTTCTTCCATCCTGTTGTTTGACTTTGGTTTTGATATGTTTCTATCATAAAGTACAGGTAGTTTTCCTTGGGTATATTAGGCCAAGACTGTGTCACATCTATTGCTTTTGTTGAAGCCCAATTTGTAGGAGCAGGGTCCCAAACTCTATTGTTTATACACTACTTAAGGCTACTTTTCTTTTTGGCACTTGTCCTTATGACTTCATGCTTCTACATACAATGTCTTTGACAAGATTGGGCCGCAGATTGTCTGTCCAGATAGATGGCATCTTGAGAAGCCTTTTTTCTTTCCTGTAGTAATTCGTAAGTCACTGTCCCCCTCTGTAAGTCTTTGGGTCTCTCCCTGGCTTCCTTCCCCAGCCCCAGACAAGCTTTTGTTCATTTCTCTTGAGGCACTTTAGATTCGTGGTCTCTGGTTGAGTTCGTGGCAATGTATGGGTGACTGCAGGTTGTTGGGCTAGGCCTCCGGAGGGCCGTTAGTAGTAAGAGCCCAGATGAGAGGGCATATGGCTGGCTGGGAGCCTAGTGTTTGGGTAGATGCCACCCGTGGGTGAATTCCAGTATGGGTTCGGGGCAGCAAAGAAGCTGGAGGAGGTGACGGGGAGTGCGGGGGGGTGGGGAGCCACGAAGTTCATCTTCTGCGGGTGGGCGTGGTAGGAGCCCATGTACGGGAGGTCGGAGGGGTACTTGTACAGAGACGATTCCGGGGGGTGCGGCTGGAGCGCCTGGGCGATGCCGTGGAAGTCAAACTTGTAGGCGTAGCGCTTCCCGTGCACCTTGGTCATGATGTTCTTGTCGTAGTAGTAGCGCAGGGCGCGGCTGAGTTTATCGTAGTTCATGTTGGGCTTGCTCTTGCGCTCGCCCCAGCGCCGGGCCACCTCGTCGGGGTCGGTCATCTTGAACTCCCCGTTGGTGCCTTCCCAGGTGATGCAGTTGGAGTTGGAGCTGTCGGACAGGAGCTCCAGGAGAAACTGCCACAGCTGGATCTGGCCGCTCCCTGGAGAGAAGGCAGGGGACAGAGAGAGAGAGCACCATGAGCACCCTGAGCACAGAACAGAAGCACAGCGGGCAGCAGCGTGAGCGGCGTGAGCACCGCGGGCACAGGCGCTGAGTGACGCCCTTTCTCAAAGCAGCAGTGGCCGCTCCCAGTTCATTGCCAGATTCCAGGGGCCAGGCTGCCCCTCGCCCCCCAGCTGCCCAGGTACTACTGCCCTTGGCTGGACAGGTGTTACGTGGACGCTGCCTGGGGCTCCCTGTGGGAGCTACTCGAAGGTAGCATTTGGAAGTCTGGAAGCTTCCCTAGTTTTCCCCCTGCCCTGAACTACTTCCTCATGCCTGCCTTCCCAGAAAGATCGCTTGAAGGAAGCACTCACGCAAGTCCTCTGGCTCAGCATCTAGGAGGTGCGACCGGAGGCAATGGTCAGCTAACAGATCCACATTCTCCATGGCAAAGGGGCCATGGTCTGCTGCTTCTGTTTATGGCTTCAAACAACAGCCAGGCCAGGATGGTGTTTTTTGGGGGGACAAAGTGCTCGTGTTTCCTACAGAGTGAGGCAGGAACACCCGGGGTGGGCATGGCAAGAGTGACTTAATACCATTTAGATTGGCGAGGGTGAGCAAAGCCATGAAACGTCTGATGTAGGAAATGAGTATCTGAAAGTGTGTGGAAAATAACCGAGGGTGGAAGTCAGGGCTGTTCTTTTGTTGGCGCTCAGAGAATAATTTGGCCCAAACTTTTCCTAACAGAAATAACCCATTCAAAATGAGGAAGCTTAGAAAGAAACAGGCTCCACTGCAAATCAGATCACCATTTCTGGTCTTGAGGCAAAGGACTCCACAGGGTCCCTGTGTCACCCCTGCGCCCCAAGGCCTGTTTCCAAAGGAGACCCCAACAAGAAGCCATGTCTGAGCTAGAATGTTCCTCAGTCCCACCAGACCATAGAGAGAGCTTTCTCTTTCTCTCTCTCCTTTCCCTCCCACCCTGCCTCCCAATTCCCTCCCTCCCAATTCCCTCCTTCCCAATTCCCTCCCTCCCTCCTTCCTTCCTTCCTTCTTTCCTTCCTTCCTTCTCTATTTGTTCAAGAAAAACCTATGCATTTCCTTCAGCCACCATGCCACCTTGCTTTTGGTTGACTTACAGCTCCCTGAAGAAGACAGTGTGGAGAGAATACTGGTAATATGGAAGACTAGAAGTTAAGCCATGTGGTCCTAGTTTTGGAAAGTTTACAAGGGCTAAATGGCAAGTCTGTCTATCCTAAACTCCACTAGAGTACTGCCTTGAGCTTGATAGCAAAATAGATGACCTTTTAAGCATATCAATCAATGTGAATAAGAAGATTAGAGTCACTTCTAGGGGAAGTGATGTAATGTAAAATTCAATTATAAGTCTGCTCTCTGTTGGTCGGTCCCACTAGCTCCCTATATAAATTGTCCGAGTCATAAACCCTTGTTTCCAGGATGGAAGGGGATGTTTGTGAATTCACCCATACAGCAGCCTCATGAGAAAGGTCAGCCGGGTCCCAGTATGTTCTGGAAAAGGATCGTTTTCAGTCTAGCAACACATTTGAAATAGATTAACAGCTTGTAGCTCATCGTGATGGAAGCCTTAGCTTTGGTGGAACCCCATATAGGAACTGTTCTCAATCAAGTTCCGCTGCCCCCAACACCGTGCTAATATACACTTAGGAATACAGAGAGTGACACAACGGCACCATATGGTTTTTGTATATATGTTGTAACTAAAGAATTAAAACTGGAGAAAAAGATTCCATAGATGACCTGGGAATACGGAGAAACGTGGGCTTTTTTTTTTTCTTTAACTTCACAGTCTAACATCTGCTTCACTGTAAACATATACAGTTGTTTGAAAATAAATATTCAGTGTCAACTTCCTCTCATGCAGAGAGCAATTCCACAGTTCCTGTGTGGATGCACAGCCCCGCCCAAGCAGCCAGGATCAAGCCTGGAAGTGCGCATCCACCCTGGGGCTGCCTTCCTAGGGACCTGCTCCTCGCCCAGCTCCCCTGTAAATGCGGGGAGGGGGACCAGCAGAGGAGAAAGCGGTCTCCTACTCTCTTGCTTCGATGTGAAAGACTTAAAGTCACGGCCCCAAACTCATAGCTCACAGGAGAGAGGAGCTGATTCCATCCGAGGAAGTGACAGGTCTGTAAACAAATTCATCAGCTCCCCAAACTGCGGCCAACGCTGAAGCTACAAATGCAGTCATTCAGCGACTGCTTGGCTAGCCTGTTCTAAAAGGTAATGTTTGCTGCAGAATTCGGTGTTCACGACAGAGTCTCCTGTGTAGGCAGTACATACGGCCACCTTCTCCCACAGTCATGATGAGAAATCATCATCCACAGCAAATGAAGCCAGTTATTCTTGGCCACAAAATTCAAGTGATTTATTGAGCTCTTACTTCCCAAACAGTCACATTCAATATGTGGTGAGATTCATGTTAGAATACAGAATAGGATTCTAATACAGAACAGGATTCTAAGGGATTCTAGAGGATTTAAAAAATCTTAAAGGAGGCTTGGCTAACTTCTGACCCACCCAGAGAAACTCGGTAAGCAAAGGTAGCTGGCACTGCCCTCTCACCGAGCGGAAGGGCGTGGCTGATGCTTTGGAACAGACCGATGACGTCAGAATTAAGGGATGATTTTTCTCAGCAGGAGAAAAGGTACCCCAAAGGCACATCATGGGAGTGTTTGGGGTGAGGATGCTGAAGTGCTCACCGCTGGTAAACCCAGGGCGCTCCTGGGATGTGACAAGAGCTGTCCATTTAAGATGATGAAGGAGATTTCTTCATAGGAAGAGCAAACAGAAATGTGTAATTGAGGCAGAACGAACAGGTCAGAGAATACAAGAAAGAAGTTTGATGGAAAAGGAGCATCTGCCCTGGTGCAAGCTGAGGACCGTCAGGAAAAGGAGGTGCAGGGACAGGGGTCTCCTTCCTTGTCATCTCCCCCTTGCAACCACTGGACCGCAAACCAAAGGTTCCTGCTGCCGGCTGCCCAGGACCCGGTGAATGGCGCCAGTGGTATGACACACGTGCTCTGCTCAGGATGCCAGGGTTGTGGCCTGCCATGCCCAGACACTGTTGGTGGCCTTCACCGGGCACCAGGAAGCCCGCTGTGCCCGCCTTGCTGATGGCCAGTAGCTCCCTCTGGTCCCACATCTCCAAACAAGCCACGCAGGACCCCTGCGCTCAAACACCCGCCACGTGGCAGACAGCGTGTGTGTGTGTGTGTGTGTGTGTGTGTGTGTTAAAAGGCCCACGTGGTCTTGTTCAGTACAGCTTCTTCTCTCCTGAGCCCTCACAATTGCTCATTCGAGTGGAACCTCCCTTTCTTTCTGATGCTCCCCATGTCCCAAAGCGTCCCTTCAAACTTAGCTGGCACACTCTGGAAACACTCCGATTTTTGGCCATGTGACTCAAAGGAAAGTTATTTAACTTCTTGGCGCCTCTGATTCCTCTTCTAGGGATGGAGATATGAGGTATAGAGGGGACCACAGGCATGAACACATTCTACAGGAACATCACATGGAGAGAGATATCAGATTATCACTCCACTGAGGCTCCCAGCTTCTCTTCTTTCTAAACTATCCTCATCCAACAGACTAGTCTTCCTGAGGGAGGACTCATCATAATCACAAAACATGGTCATTCTATTTATTAGAATGGTGATGAGACAGCTGGGCACTGGTGGCTTACACCTGCAATTTTGCCTACTCAGGAGGCTGAGATCTGAGGGTCATAGTTCAAAGCCAGCCCGGGCAGGAAAGCCCAGGAGACTCTTATCTCCAATGAACCACCTGGAAATTGGAAGTGGAGCTGTAGCTCACAGTGATAGAGCACTAGTCTTGAATGATAAAGTTCAGGGACAGCACCCAGGCCCTGACTTCAAGCCTCATGATGAACAACAACCAAAAGAATGGCTATGAGACAGTTTGCAAATGGCAGCTCTGGGAGGCTTGGCCACCAGTCAGATGCTATATAAAGGAGAAGAGCGGGGCTCTGTGGACTAGAGAGCGTTACAACCACCCAAGGAGGTGGCTACTCCTCAGGGCCAAGGCTGAGACCCCTCAGCCATGCACATCTCCAACGAATAAATGCTGTGCACCTATTCTCTGCCTGGATTAATGGAGTGAAAGAGAAAACAATTCTCTCTCCTTGTTCTGCAGCTGAAAAACTATTTCTTGAATTAATTATCATACCAACTTCTCGTGTCAAAGACAAAGTCACTCAGCAAGGATTTTTCATGTTCTTGAAGTATGGTTCCTTTTGTGGTGATGTCTGCTGACTGAATCTGATGGGGGGTTGGGTTCCCCGCCCCTGGTTTGGCCTGACGTGAAGAACGCACACATTCCAGCTTGTACTCGCAATGTGACTGTGGCACCTTGGCCCTGGCCCTGCAGCCCCCAGCCTGCAGCATATGCTCAGCATGTCTGCAGGAGGCCCAGCATGCGTGCTTCTGATTTGAATACAAATAGGACAGTTCAGTTGGCACAGCCACGTAAGGACAGGTGCGGGCTGGCCCCTGGTCTGGAATGGGCTACGAACAGACCAATGAAGGCCCTGTGCTTTCTTCCAGTATCTCAGTTCAAACACAGACTGTCAAAGATGGGCCTAATGTGAAGTCGTAAGATTGCTACGATTCTCCTTTCCAAAAGAATGTGTCTCCCTGGGACTCCTGTGTTGAAGGTCTGACCTGATCAGGGTCTTTACAGAAGTCACAGGCTGAAGCCTGGTGCTGGTGGCTCATGCCTGGCATCCTAGTTACTCAGGACACTGAGATGCTGAGGATCATAGTTCAAAGCCAGCCCTGGGGAAGGAAAATCCATGAGACACTTATCTCTAATTTACCACTGAAAAAGCTGGAAGTAGAGCTGTGGTTCAAGTGATAGAGCACTAGCCTTGAGCTTAGGGAAAGTGCCCAGACTCTGAGTTCAAACCTCAGGACAAGCAAGAGGAGGAGGAGGAAGAAGAAGGAAGGAGGAGGAGGAGGAGAAAGAAGAAGAGGAGGAGGAGGAGGAGGAGGAAGGAGGAAGAAGAAGAAGGAGGAGGAGGAGGGAGGAAGGAGGAGGAAGGAGGAAGAAGAAGAAGAAGGAGGAGGAGGAGGAAGAAGAAGAAGAAGTGGGCTGGGCCCTATTCTGATGTGATTGGTGTCCTTACAGACAGAGGATATACATACACAGAGAAGTGATGGAAGGGGACCTAAGGAGACGCCAGCCATCTGAAAGTAGAAGGGGGGTGCTGAGAAGGGACCCATCCCTCCCCCATCAGGACCACTGCCATGACACCCTGACTCAGACTTCCAGCTGTGAGCATGATCTGTCCCATGGCACCCAGTCCCCAGGGCTTCCTGTCGGCAGCCCTGGAAAGTCTTCACTCCACACATGCTCTTTGCTGAAGCTAAAATCTTAAAGGATAATCAGATCCTCTCCTTTTTTGTTTGTTTGTTGTTACTATTACTATCTTTTGACTATGACAACCCAGTGAGACCTACAAGTAAATAAAGTTGTTCCCTTGAAGGATGTGTGTACCAGGACAAAATGGTCTTTCCAAACACAAACAGCTGCGGTGTGAACACAGGCTCGCTAGCACGGCCTTACCTGGGTTCGCAAGGCGGCTACTGGTCGGTCCCAGAATCTGGTAAGGATCTGCAAGCAGAAAGGAGAGAAGTCAAACTCCAAGGATAGCATTTGGGCTCAGCATGAGGTGACTTCAGATTCCTTAGCTGGAAACATCCCCCCCCACCCCTCCCAGCCCAGAACCACCGCTCTGCCCAAAGAAGCACAAGGTGGACAGTTCTGCTCAAAGCCTCCAGCTCAACCGAGGATCTCAACAGGGCAGACTGGGACCACACCGGACACACGGTCCAGAAGCGTTTTAGTGCAGACTAATAGTTTGGTCCATCTTTAACACACAGATTGTTATAAAGAAGAAAAATGTAACGCTCAGTTCATCTTGGAAATTCCCCCACGGCCTCGTCTTCTCTTACGACTGTCCATGCTGGCCACTGAGACCTACCTAGCTGGGGACGCTGGTCTTCCGTTTTGGGCACTGCGGAAGGAGATGGCTGAGCAGCTGAAAATCCAAAAGCAATAACACAGTTAGCTGTAACTTCCATCTGGCCACCGGCCTTCGCTGCTGCTGAGGACACACTAATCATTCCACACAGGATTTTGATTGTTCATGTAAGAGTCTCACGCTTACAACAGAAGCACCTGAGAGGAAGGGAAATCTAAATACTATAGCAAAAAGGAGTATGTATCCCAGTATTTTTAAAGAAAATATACTCCACAACTTCTAAAAATAATTCTTTAAGAATTTGAGATGGCTTATGAAACAGAGTAAAATGAACCATGGTATAAATAAAGAGAAACCACCAGGAAAATAAGACATAACCAAATAAAGCAAAGCCCAAATTAAGGGACTCATCAATCATTTATTCTATACACCAGCATCCCAGGAAACGTGTTCGTCTGTGGGGAACCTCACATATTCATTCCTCAGGGGGATTTGAACTCAGGGCCCTGCACCTGCTTGGGGACACTCCGCCACTTGAGCCACATCTCCTAGTTATTTTCAAGGTAGGGTCTCACTTTATATCTGGACTGGGTGGGGCTCCTTCTGCTCACCATTCCCAGTGTCACAGGGAGGAAGGTGGGTCTTGCTACTGGACCTGACTGTTATACTGCACGTATAGCAGGGGTGATAGGCGCACACCACCTAGCCCAGTCACTTGGTTGTTTTGAGATAGAGTCTCAAAACTTCTCTTTTGCCCAGGCTAGCCTCTAAGCACAGTCCCCTGGTCCCTGCCTCTCAATAAGTCCTGTCTGTTATGAAAGTGGGTGCAATCAGTGCTGCTTCGCTGACAGTGGGACAAAGTTTTCACATGTTTTTTTTTTCCTCCATTCCCTCCTGTGGGGCACCCAGATCCGTGGCTCTGATTCAGTACCTTTGGACTGAGGGGTGGGGTGACCTTGGGTGGTCCAGGCCGATCTCCTGGGAGGCTCATAAGGTAAATCTGAAAAGACAAATGAATTGACTAAAAACAAAAAAAAATGATGTAGTTTTTCTAATAGATGTTTCCATTTTTTTAAAAAAATTGTGTTTATGAGGATGAATATTTGATATGAGGGAAGAAATATTCAACCACCAATTCACTCCCTTTGAATTCCAGTTATAGATTACAATCTGGCATATTTGGTTGATGTAAAATTCTCCCATTTTTCTAGGTTTTATTTTATAAGGTCTGATTTGGTACGTTTAGCTGTTATAGATGTCTCTCTTTCTGAGTTAGGGCAGTGTCTCAAGTGGTAGGAGATTGATCTAGCAAGCACAAGGACCTGAGTTCAAGCTACAAAAACCAATACATAAACAATTCTCTCTTCTGTTAATCTAAAAACTCCATGACCAGAATGTTCCAGAGTTTGCTCTTGTAAACATATCCCTACAGCTACAAGTTAAAACCATATTAAAAATATATTTTACAATGAACTTAGCCAGGGACTAGTCTAAACCTACCCCTTTATCATCTTCATGAATCAGAAAACAAACCATCTGAAACAGACTCTGCAACTCGGACTTGCCAGCCAGGTTCTGATTAAGGTCCGTTCCAAACCCACCTGCTGTCATCCAGACTCCTGTCTTCTCTCCCTGGGAAATGAATGCTGTTTTCTTCTCCTCTTATTTGTGGGTTCCCACCCTTGGTTTCCCCTCATTTTCCCTTTATAAGCTCACCCATTTATGTTGTCGGTCTTAACTGCCCCACTTATTTTTCTAGGCAAACATCGACTCTTTTTTCTAAGTGTATTTAGAACTTTTTCTGAAATGAATCGCATGAAATAAGTCCCACGCAGCTCTGGAGCAGTGACCTTCGGGGTCATCTTCTGATCTGTTAATTACATGGTACTGCTTCTCCGTGAGCCTCCCTCACATTTTGCATAGGGAAACTTCAGTAATGTGCTTCTACATGGAAGTCTCAGTCCCATTCATGGTGATCACGGCTCTGCGGGAGTTCCAGACTCTTTCAAAATAATGCATGCCTGTTCTTATTATCATGCACAGGGAAATCTCTGTTTACATGCAAGCCAAATACGTTTCAGAACCACAACTTCTTGGATCGATCGGACTAGTTCAAAGTAAATGTCATTCAGAGCCAACTGAAAGCCAGACTCAGGTACTCTGCAGGTGCCAGATGCCAGATAGCAAGAGATACCCATAAAAATCTCACATGGAGAGCCAGGCAAAGCAATTACTTTAAAGATGCATTGGAGGAAGTTAGCTGACCTTATTTAAGATGTAGTGACTCGGTGGGACAGTCTTCAAAGATCCTGACTATGTTCTAGAATATGTGTCTCTTCCTATTTTCATATCCCAATGAGAATAGAAATGATATGCAATGTGAAATTCAACACAAGATGGCCTTAATTTATTTGGTCTGTTTGGCTGTGAGCACAGCAACTTGGGTGGTCTTTGAAATCTTACCCTCCCTAGCCTCGATAGGTTAAGAGAATTCTAGAGAATTCCAGCTCTGCCAGAGCTCCCTCTCGGCTGCCCCCCACACCCGGCTTCTAGGAGTTCTGCTTTTCTGCAGTTGGGATTACACGTGGGAATTAAATCTGCCGCTGCTATCCATTTACAGCTACGTTTCAGCTCAAGTCTCTGGGAGCATATTCTGCATGTGGATTCTCCGCCAGTTGCTTTTTTCCCCCCTGCTAAGGGGAAAAAATTTTGTTAAGCAGAATTTCAATGTGAGTATTGTCTGAAGAGAAGTAAGAATCTACGAGCCAGGCTTTTCTAACATCATCTACCCTAACTCAGGAGCAGACAGACACACAGAGGTTCTGCTTCCCACCTGGGAAAGCAGCGTGCTCCAGAAGGATGTCGTAGGTCCCCATTTCTCAAAGGGCAGTCTGTGAGCCAGCATCCTCAGCAATATTTAGGAGTTTGTTAGAAATGCAAATTTTCATCCCACACCCAGACAGTCAGAGTCAGTTAAAATAACAAATTTGAGGTGCTGGGTCCTCTCTGAAGCTTGAGAAATCCGGCTCTAGCAATCTCCCTCTAACAATCTATGTTCTTACATATAATGATTTCAGATGTGCCATCTAGACCATGCCCATACAGGTGTTCTACATGCCTAAGCATCCTAGAGAACTTAGACCTAGGTCTGAGTACACAAATGGAAGATTTGCCAGAATCTGTCTTGAATAGAACGTATCATGGGTAAAATAGCACTGGGAAAAAAATCCAACACCCAACTCAGACTACCAAAATATTTTGAAACTCTTTCAGAAACTCTGTCCACGGATGAGTAGCCAGGTCCCACTCGCCTTTGGAAACGTCAGGACCTAAACTATACCAAATGGGGGTCTAACTGGCAGCCAAGTGTTGGAGGTGTTTGCGTAGACACTGATGATGGTGTTCATAAACACACGGCCGTGGTAGATAAGCAGGCTTTTGTTTTCCTTTATGACATTCTCTGCCAATGCTTCCTTATCAGCTACTGGTCCCGTGCAAGGGGCACCCAGCCCCTCCTGCAGGATGTGACCTTGGGAAGTGCCGTTGACCTTGGAGTTGAAGGGAGGATGGACATCCAGTCAGCCCTGGCAGCAGCTGTGCGATCTTCTAAGCAAGCCACTTTTGAGCAATTACACTCCTGGCTGTTGGAAAAGTTAGTAACCCCCAGTCACTCCCCTGCCTCTTAAATGAGAGCTGAGCGTAGCGCTTCAAATACGAAGGCATTTTTACATTTCACTTCAACACACTCTTCAAGGTTATGCACTCATCCACTTGGCAGAAGTTCCTGTGCCTGCAAGGGCTGATTTTTGGAGTGCACGAGGATTGTTTCATCTGTAGAAAACTACTGTAAAACTGAACTTTGTAAAGCTGATTTCCCCGGCAGCAGTTGGGTGACAGAGGCGTGTGAGGCAGACAGAGGCAGACCAGAGACTGGCTTAGAGGCAGATCCAGGAGCCTGGTGGTTGATGACTGCCCCACCCCAGCACCTCTGTGGACTCCTGCAGAGCTGGGATTGGGTTGGTTGTGGATTCTGGGCCAAACTCCTCCCACCACACCTTCCCTGACACTTCGGCCAATCAGAGAATTAGAATCATATCCTGCCTGTCTGGCCTAGGAGGGTTAAGCTCCACCAAGCTTGATATGCCTCCAGCCCTCCGCCCTCCCCTGTGCCTCTTCACATTTTGAAAGGATTTGGGTCTCTGTTTATTACAGTTGTGGTGTCTCCCTCCCCGGAACCCCCTGCCCCACAGGGGCAGAGGAAATGAGTAAAAACTTGCTTTCTTTCTGTTCTTGGATGCTAGTGAGGAAGACTTAATTAGTAGGCCAAGAGCTGCTGACCAGAACCAATTGATAAACCCCTATGAAATGTGAGGCAGTGAGCGTCAGCACTTAAACTGCTCTCTCTTGTCTGCCTACTGAATGGAGATCTTCCTAAAGCTCCTAAGATCCCATGTCAAAGATGTGGAGACAGAGGCCATTTATCTTCCCTCTTGCTTATGTGCACAAGCCTCGTGGTTCTGCTGGACTAGGAGGAAGCCCCGATGTGTGTGCGTGTCCAGGAGTCACAGAGCACGCAGCTGTGCAGTAGCTGGCGGTGCTGAACTGTCTCATTACACCTGGCCAGGCCAAGCTGTCCCAGATAATGGGTCCCAATAGATGACTAACACCCAAAGAACATGGCTTCAACACAGCAGTCAAAGCTGCAGTCTCCTCTCTCTCCTTAAGGTCCCTGGATCGTGTCACACCATGCAGGTGGTCATAGGGATGGAGGAAGCGAGGGTCTAGGGACCAGCATCCTTGTGTGGGATTGCGACCGAGCTCTGCCTCATGGCCTGCTCCTCAGCGGATTCGCGGCTGGTGCAGCTGGAGGCCATACGCTGGCTCCCAAGATGGGTCCCACCTGTCCCTCTCCGCTTTACCCCGAGACCTCAAGGGGGTCTACTGGCTTCAAAAGGAGTGGATTCACTGAGGGCGGAAGATGCTTACAGGGAAGATGAGAAAGGGTTTCTGCCAGTCATAACTGTCACAACCCGAGAAACAGAGGAAGACGTGTAAAATAGTGACCGTGTAACCATAGTCGGTCACTGAGGTGTCTGGGTGCTAACGCTGTTATATGAGGGACCCATCCACATGCTACTTCCATGCTGGGCTGGTAGTAGAAGCAGGTGTGTTTTAAATCAGGAAAATGTGGAAACCTGGGAGCTGGGTGTGAGCAGAGGAGGGAAAGGCGGGGTGGGGATATGCGCCGATCCCAACAGCTCTGGCCGACCTGGAGCCCGGGCTGCGCTGGCACAGTGCTGGGCTGACTCGCTCGGGTCATTGGCCAGCGGTGCTGAATAAGTGAAGCATTTGGGAAGCTCAGCAGAGAAAAATGAAAGATTGGAGTGTCAACTCAGCAACAGGTGGCCAAGATAGGATGAACTGAGGAGAGGTACTGGGAAGCAGGGCTGGAACCTTCTACAGTCCAAGTGACAGACAGAAGCGGGGACTTCAGCTCGGCCCGTTCACAGGCCTCTCAGGGACGGAGAAGCCAGTTTCTGCCCCTTGGGTGAGAGAAAAGAAAAATAGCAGCTGGAAGTTGTGGTAGCAGTGACAGGGCTGGAGGGAAGAAGCACCCCAAGAAATCTTCGGATCCCCACTTTCCAGCTTCTGGCTCCCAGCTTCCTCCTTGTTAAGGAGGAGCGGCTAAGCCTGGAGTTCTGGACCAGTTTGCCTGAGACTCGTGTGACCTAGACAGGTGACAGGGTTCAAGGAGGGGCAGCCAGGTGGAGGAAGACCCAGCAGGGGCCAGAGAAGCCGTCCTCCTGCCCAGCTGAGAGGCTGCCAGGAAGAGACCTGGCCTGCGGTGGCCATCAGGGAGGTGTAGGTGCACTGTCTGGGTCTGAAATGTCCTCTCCGAGACACCGTACCCCTGGCAGATGTCCACCTCCCCTCTGAGATGCAGCCTTCGCTTGGGAGGCTCCCTGGTCCCACCCTTGGCCTAGAGGCAGCCATCAGCTCCAGCCATTCAGCACCACCACAACTCCATGCCCATCGCTGGCTCTGGGCAGCTCCACTGCATCATCTAGAACCCCAGGCTAAATACCACAGCTTGCTCCCCACTGAGCCCCTCCACCTCGAGACCAGAGGAGCCACGCAGCAAATGAGCCAGGTGGGGTGCCACCTGGGTACCCCAGGTTTCAGAAGGTAGCTTCTTGGAGTTTGGTTCATTCATCTTTATATTTACCGAGTCTAACATGGGCGGTGTTTGGCACTTCGGGGCACAGCATAAACATTTATTTGCGCATGAATGACACCCATGTTAATTACCTGATTGTATTACCCAGAAAGGCCTGAAGTAGGACTCAAGATAAATACTATTAGAGGTTTGTGCCCTGAGATCTTGCTTTCTTGTGGCAAGCTGGGAACCGGTGGTTACTAGTTCCCTTGCTTTGTGCCGTTGTTGGGAGAAAGGACCGACTGAACATCAGCCCTGGCTGAGAAGCTCTCCTTTTCCCACCTGTCCTCCAAGAGCGACTGGGGACGGTTAATATGCTCCTAATTCAGAAGCTCCGTCACCTTTGGTGCCATCTCTGAATGGAGCACCTGGGCTGAATTTGCTTTCTGAGCCAACAGAGACAGCAAGAACACTGGGACCCATTTCAGAGCTGGGATCCACTCTTTCATATCACAGGACTTGGGTCCTGGATCAGCAGCCTTGTGGGATGTCCCCAGGTGAAGCGGTCACACGGGGGTGGTGGCATACCTGGCCTAGTTGTAACTCTTTGCGTAGCTTCAGGATATACTGAAGTATTTGGGAAAATAAAGGCTGCACCCCCTGCAGACAAAAGGAAAGACAAAACACGTGAGGGACTTTTGTTTTTGTTTTTTTTCTGTGGCTGTCAATCTCAGTTATCTGTGCCAAAGCTACCCTACCCTGGCTGACCTTCACGAAACATCTTGGACCTCTCGGGAAACGCACAACTATACTGCTCACACACAGGGACAGGAGGTTCGCCTGGGTGTTTGTTACAGAACACTTTGCATTTTTGATTTTACAGCTTCTTGCTGACGCTCCGTTTTCATCCAAGGGATCTTTATTAAAATTTTTCTATGGTGCTTTTTTTTTTGCAAACATATAAAATCCATAAAAAGTTTTAAAGAACTCTTGGAAAACAGTACCAAAGAATGACAAATATTTCACCGAGGACTATATGGATTTTATTAAAAATGAATCCACATCTCTATTCAAATGCCTGGTTGCTTTCTCTCTCCCAATACTTGTGTTGTCAACTGACAGGACCCGCTTTCTGCTGTCCCTTTGGACTTTGTTGTCCCGCTCTTTGATTGCGTCTATGTCTCCATGATAATAAAATTAATGCCCTTTGACCTTTCTTGAAATATCCAGGCACATTAAAGAATTTCTAACTAAGGGAAATTATCAGAAAATACGTGTATCTCAAAGGTGTTTCTGCAGAGGGAGAAATCACCTTAAATTATTTTGTTATTTCTGGGTACAATATTATTCATAGGGTGATGCGTGAAGGAGAGTTGAAAGGGGGTGCCCCTGGCTCAAAGCGTTTTTTGATATTATGCAGAAGCAATGCTGAATACAAGAGACCAAGGTAAACCAGCCAGTTAGTTGTAATCTTCACCTCCAGAGTTGGTCTTATTGTAGGCTGCCCTGAGGCTGCCCCATGGTTTGGCTTGCTTGCTTGCAAAGGATTGCGCCCCTAGCCTTTGCACCCCTCGCCTTGGTTGCTTGTGGAGGGCCCTGCAGGCTCATGCAGAGGAGCCTGTGGCTCTCTATCTCCCCCACTCCATCAGAAGTCAAGGGGAAGTAAATATGGATACAAACCAAGAACACAGCCATTCCACAGAGTACCACCAACCCATCACCACCTAGAAACCCCAGAGAAATGGGAGGAGGGGTTAGTGAGGACCAAGCAGTATTGTTACACTCAGCCAGGCTCAGGCATGAAACAGACCAAAATGGAAGACCCGTGATCACAGATCAGAAGGTAGGCACTGGGTTAGAGACGAATTTCATATTCTCCAAAACTGCAGAAGAGTTCCTCTAGGGAAAAAACTCAGGAGAACAGCCACCCCCTCCCAGCACCCATGGCAGGTACTTTAAGAGTGTGCCTGTTTAAATGAAATCCCATCACCTAAAAATAGCATCAGAAAGGAAAAAAAAATTCAGTCTAGCTTGTCCTGGTTGACATTCCTTTGGGAATAAAAATGGAAATAAAAACAAACCAAAAAAAATGGAGGTTGCTCAGGGCCCCTTTCTTTATACTAGAGTTGTTTTAAGTCTCTAAAGCCATTGTATTGGGATTAACAGTAATAGCAAGAGATTGAAATCCAGCCAAGGTGAGCAAAAGTGGTAGCTAATTCTGCACGTCTTCTAGTTAAAGGAAATCCTTTGATGGACGGAGGAGGGTGGAGGAGGGGTGACAGGAAAAGCTCAGATGCTAAAAGGCTTCACTTCCTTTAGCCTAAACGACCCGTCTGCCTTCTTTCCACCTCTGCCTTCTGCCTTCCGATGCTCTCACCTGTCCCGAGTTTTACCTTAAAGCATGCACCTGCAGACAGGACTCTACACTCATCCCAGGGCAGGGTGGGGCCAGCATTACCTGTGTTTCTAGCATGCATTAACCGTGGAGAGTTTTGTAAGGCTTTGTCAACATCATCAGAAGTCAAATGTGGAAGAGGAGCTACAAAACAAAACAAAAGGCAACATCCAAATGATAAAGAAGAAAGAAAAAAAAAGAAGAAGAAAGGAAAGAAAGGGAGAAAGGAAAACGCCCTGACCCGACCTAACATCACCGGCTCCTGACAAACCTACATCACCGCCCTGGGTGTTAGTGTGTTAAACCCTGAACAAACAGATCATCTTTCTCAGGGAGCGCCGGTTGGGGTGCCTGGCACGTTTCCTGTTCCCCATGGCCATGCCGGACCCTTGTGAGACCTGGAGCCTTCAGCAGAATCCCTGGTTCAGGTCTCCGATCGCCAGTGTCGCTTTCCCATCCTGCCAGGTTAGCCCAGCCCTTTGAAGACAGAGTGAAAATCCTCCCTCTGTTCAAGCTTAGTTAAGACAGGAAAAGGGGATGCGGGGGCTGATTTAGCTTTTGGCACCAGTAAAGCCTGTGATTCTCATTGTGTGGCTACGAGTCTCTTGTTCCTTTTTGTTTTAATGAGGGGCATCACAGAGACTAGGGAGTGTGGGACCAGGTGAAGCTTGCTTTCTCTACCCTTTCCCCCCACCCCCCAGCGGGTCCCACGTGCCCTGCAGGAGCAGCTGAGCCTAGGGTGACTTGTGCCCTTCTCGTCGGTGCTGCCTGTGTAACCCGGCCAGGTTTGCATGGCGCCCTGTGGCATCTCAGTGTGGCATCCTCGCAGACACTGGGCAAGGTCAGGAGGATGCTGTGGACCACCTGGTCCGAAGCCATGGCAACAGGAACCATGGCAACCGGCATGGCGGGGGCGGGGAGGGGGGGCGGCTTACTCTCTCTGAGGTAGTGGAGATGGGAGAGAAGGATGTCGGCGTTGTAGCTCGGGGTGAGCCTCTGGAAGTCATCCTTGGTCATCTTGCACAGCTCCTTGCCGTCAATATTCTGGAACAGCAAGACGTCCACGTCTGGAAGGCCATACTCTTTCACCGCCCACTCCAGCCACTGCCGCACGTGGTCTGTGCTCCACAGGGTAGGATCTGAAATGGAGGAAAACCCTGAGCCAACATCGCCCCTTCTCCCCCTCCTCTTCTTCTGCAATGGCACACCAGGGTGTCTTTAGACACCCTGAATTCAACGCCACTTTATCCTCAGGGTGCAGAGAGGAATTCAAACACCCCACGGACAAGACCCTGCCTGCACCACCCACCCAGGTCACCCGTGGAAGGGTCCACCACCCTTGCTGGTGTCTGGTCTTGCTTTTGACAACATGGGATGGCTATGTGGGATTCTTTCTATGGTTGTCTCAGTTTGTTTCTGTGTGGGATTTTAGTTCTGTAGAAATACTTCATAGGAATAGTTTTTTTCTTTCTGAGAGTCAATGTTCTTTCTCTGCTCTGCTTTTACTGTTTCTCCTTCCCATTCTCTTTCTCTCTCCCCCCTCTCTCTTAGATTGAGTCTCTCCCTTTTTCTCAGTGTGGCTTTGAATTACCACCCTCCCACCTCTACTTCCTGCATAGCTGGGGTAACAGGAATTTTCTTCTCTTAAGGGTGGAACCAGATAATCTCAAAGTTAGGAATAAACATCCTGCCTGAAGGTCACCAGCTCCAGGATAAATGGAGAAGCGACACTTGGGAAGACTGCCTGAGAGAGAGAAGTGTGGTCTCTAGAACATTCCCTAATTTCCTTTGGGAAGCCAAAGGCTATCACAACTCACTCAACTCACTCACGTTTCCTTTAAGCAAGTCACGTGCAAGGGCCCTGAGACCTGTCCCCAGCCAGGTCTCACCTGTGGCTAGTCAAAGTCTATTCTCAGTTACTGCTGGTACCAGTATTAATCACCACAACCTTTCTGATGAACCAAATATCTCAAATACTTTTTAAAGTCTAAAAGTATTATGCAAAGTGACATGAATTTTGATATATGTAAATAAATATCTATTATATACATTTTTTAAAAGTGTGAATGGTTAGCTGGGAGAGATGGTTGCAGCTACTAGGAAGGCTGAGGCAGGAGATCTGTTGTTAGAGGCCAGCCTGGATAACATCATCAGACCTAGACTCAAGTAACAACAGCAGCAACAAAAATTTCCACATCTAAACTAGCTGGCTGTAGGGGCTCAAGCCTATAATCCTGGCTACTTGGAAGAGTGAGACCAGAAGATCATAGTTTATAGTCAACCTGGCAAAAAGGGAAAAAAAAATTGTAAGGCTCCCTGTCAACCAATGGTTGGATACGATAGTACACATCTGTCCTTCCTGGCAATATGGAGAAACGCAAATAGGAGGATCACAGCCCAGACCCAACCAAGGCAGACCCTACCTTGAAAATAACCAGCAACATAAAGGAACTGAAGGTACAGCTGTCCTGTCCTGAAGGCAGGCCAGCCCCTGTCCACTGAGCACAAGGCCCTGAGTACAAACTCCAGGACCAGACCACCAAAAATAAATAATCCACATTTCCTAGGGAAATAATACAGGATGTGCACCTTCATGATGTATCTTCAAGAATGTTCTCTGTAGTGTTGTTTATATAAGCAAAACACTGGAAATACCCTAAATCTCCAGCAAAAAGAGAACCAGTGAAGTCGTGGTACGGTTAGTAATATTCTTGTAATTTTTCAGAAACTGTTACATTGCTAGAATATATTTATTAGTATGAAAAGAAAAGTGCCATCTGCTGTCTCGGGGACTAGAGAGAGGAGTTTTCCTTTTTATCTCTAGTTTCTAAAGGAGAAAATTTTATTTGCCCCAGGTCTGCAGGCTGGGAAATCCAAGGTGAAGGTGCCAGCCTTGGGTCTGGTTAAGAGCCTTCTTGCTGTGTGCCCTCCTGGCCGAATGCAGAAGGACAAGCTCACCAGCCAGCAGGACCCTAAGCAAGGATGAAGACGACAGCGGAGACGCTCAGAGCTGAGGATTCACTCTCTCCCATGCCAGCTGCTGCTGCCAGGGAGTTAGTTGTTGTTGTTGTTGTTTGTTTGTTTTTACCAGGGAGGAATTTGAAGCAGTGGTAGTGGAGGGTTCAGTGGAAGCCCAGCCACAAGGGAGAAGGGAGGAGGGAGGAGGGAGGAGGGAGGGGGGAGAAGGAAGGAGGGAGGAGGGAGGAGGGAGGAAGGAGGAGGGGTGAGAGGTGAGGAGGAGGATGGAGATGAAAGCTAGCATCAGGTCCGGGACGGTCTTGAGCACCTTGCTTAAAAGTTTACACTTTATAATATAGGAACTTCAGAGTCACTAGACATGACCAAGGAATCAAAAAACAACATCTCTCCAGGTGCCAATGGCTCACATCTATAATCCTAGCTACTCAGGAGGCTGAGATCTGAAGAGGATTAAGATTCCAGGCTTGCCTGGGCAAATAAATCTAAGAGATTCTTATTTTCATTTAACCCGGATGAAGTCGGCAGTGGAGGTATGGCTCAAGTGATGGAGCATCCACCTTCAGTTAAAATGCTAAGAGAGAGTGCAAACCATGGGTTCAAGCCCCAGTACCTCCCCTACCCCCCAACACACACACAAATATGTCTTAAATTACACCAAGCACAGAAAACTCAATCCAAAAAAAAACAAAAAACCAGAAAGCCTTCTGGGAGGTCAGAATGCACCTATTTGGCTTCCGATTCTACCATTTACTGGCCATACAGGCTCACTTCTCAGATTAGCTTTGTTTATTTTTTGTGGGTAATTAAAGGGACTGCAGGGAGTCACAGAGCCCTGGGAGAACGTATGCGGGAGCATTGCCAGCAGTAACGCTGAAAACTAAGGTGTCAGTGCTATGCACAGTGTGTTACAATCTCTGCTGAAATGAATTTAGTCACCAAGATCACCTCCCTGTAAGCACAAAGGGCAGATGATGCATCACTGCTTTACAGAGTCTCTTTCATGTGCCTCAGTCAAAGGATTCACAGACTCACCAAAGGTGAGCTGTGTGTTCAACCCTCTCATCCCATTGTGGAGACATTTGTGTCTTTGCCTCTATGTTTTGTGGACAACAAATGGTAACGCTCAGTGGTCCAGAAGGAGAGGAGACACTCTTATTAGTATTTTGGGTTAAGGTCCAAGGCGTGGTGGATATCCAGGAGCTTTATGAATTCTCTTTGGTTGACTGGAATTTTTAAAAAGAAATCAAAGCACATCATCAAACAGAGTTCTAGAGTTGCACTTGTAAACTGATTTAGCCACACTGGGGTTTAGAATGAGGGCCTTGTGCTCCCTAGCCACTTCAGCCATGATCTCAGCCTCTTTTTTCCCTTTACTTGTTTTTCAGACAGAGTCTCTCACTTTTGCTCAGGCTAGCAGTGGACTTTGATCCTCCTTCCTATACCTTTCCAGGCTGGAATTACCAGCATGAACCACCACACCCAGCCCCAAAGATACACATTTTTACACTCTGTGGGTGGGGTGGGAGAGAGGGTTCAAGCAGCAGTGGGAAGGGGGTTAAAAGATATTTTATATTTCCATGAGTCAGGACTGTGACATGGTTGGCTCCCACTGCTGCCAGGAAAATATTAAGTAGATATTGAAATCCGGCAGAGGGGCACGGCTGTGCCAGGCAGCCTGCGCCTTCTCGAACCACAGGCCCTCACACAGGGCCCCCTCCAACTGCAGAAGCCCCGCCAGAGAGAGGAACTGGAACAAGATAAAACAAGAGTCAGAGGGGTGAGAAGGTGAGTCCTGAGTGTCACTGTTCTTGAGTGATAGTAATGTGCCTTGTGCCTTCCCGAGAGAAAAGTCACCCAAAGTTATAAGACGAGCATTAAAAAATACAGTAAAACAACATGAAGACAAAGGCCCTCCTCAGTCCTATCACCGGAGGAGCCACAGAGGCTTTATCAAACACACTGGCTGCTCTACACCCAGCATTCTCTAAGCCTACGAAAATAAGACGTAACTTCAGTCCCCGAATGACAGAACTCAGGGTTTCAAAGCAGGCCCCACAGGAAGGGCTGGCTAGGACTTTGCCAAATCTTCACCCCACAAATTGAAATGTAACTCCAAAGAAAAAGCTGACTTCAAAGCTGTTCCAGAACCTTTCGAAGTTTTAATGGATAGGTGGTGCTCATTGGCTGTCTTGGTTCTGTTTTATTGTATTTTTGTTTTGTTTTGTCTTGTTTTTTGTTTTTGTGTGTAAATGGGGCTGGAACTCAGAGCCTGAGTGTTGTCCCTTCGTTTTTTTTCATTCAAGGCTGACTTTCTACCACTTGAGCCGCAGGTCCACTTCCAACGTTCTGGTGGCTAGCTGGAATAAGAGTCTCATAAACTTTCCTGCCCTGGCTGGCTTTGAACTGCAATCCTCAGATCTCAGCCTCCTATGTAGCTACCATTGTAAGTACTGTTTTGTTTTTGTCTTCTAGTTTTTTTGGCACTTAGAAGAGGGAATGAGATCTATAGGCATTGATATTTTAAATGCTGGATTTGTTACTTTGGAGAGGGGCATAGTGCATAATCAATACGTCTTTAAAATAATGGAATATTTCCTAATTGTTAGATTCGGAGTTCTAGAAAATAACCATACCACCAAAACCTGTAATTTTAATGTTGTTGATGCACTCATTACTGAGAAAGGAAAATCAAAAATTCACACTAAAACTGACCTGTTTATGTCCTTTTGAAGTTGTCTGTGTTGTTCCAAGACTGTATCATTAGGTGTATTTAAGTCTTTCATCATTATCCATTTTTCATGAATTTAGCCTTTGTCCTTTTGTGATATTCTTGTTTACTCTTGTAATGATTCCTGCATGAAAACTCTTTGCATACTTATTTTTTATTTCTGTCAGCTTTATTCAGTTAGATTTTTTAAGATGGTTCATTCCACAGTTAGTGGTTTATCTTTTTTGTGAGATGTTTTTTGTCAAAAGTATACAACTGATTTGGGTTGATTATTTTAGTCTGTCACTTATGCAGCAGATTTGTTCCATTCATATTATTGTTCCTGGTCTGATGCCAACCTCCTTGTTGTGTATTTCCTGTGGCCACTTTTCTCTGCCTGCTTTTCTTTGGCATTTCTTTCCATCTGAATTGATTTCATTTTTTATTCAGTCCCTCTTTTTCCCAGTTAGTTACAATGTTTACTATCTTCATCTTTTCCATCCTCTTATTTCTTCCTTCTTGTTTCTATTCTCACTCTTCACTCATTAATCTTTAAATGAAATCTAACTTAATCGGTAAATTTATCCTTTTTCCAAGAAACACTATGAGTGTATGAAGCTTCACTTCTAGTTACCCAGCTTGACTCTCACATGATACAATGTCTAAAGCTTTCATTCCACATTATTTTTGATTCCCCATTTAGGCAGCTGTGTTGTCATTTTGCAGCCATTTCTCTTTTGTGCTATCCTCATTGTAACCAACTCCATTGCTCTGGTTTCCTACTTACAACTCACTTCCTTCTAGGACACATTTTTTCCCCCTGTTTATTAAGTCTTGTGTCATTTCCAAAGTGAGGGTCAGTTAAACAACCAACTTCTGCCTTTGTTTGAACGCACCATTTTTTACACTCAAGTCACACAATTCATTGGAATTCTCACTGTTTCTTTGTATTCTGACGATCCTCTCATTCATTTATAAGTATTGCTCTAAAGGACTGGCTGACTTCCAAGTGGGTTATAAGAGTTAAAAAAAAAAAGTTAAGAATCACTAAAAGCTGGTGAGTAATAGAGGGTGATGAGAAAATCAAGAGTAAATAACGGGTCACCCGGATTCAAGGACCGTGGGATCATGGAGAGCTACAGTCCCCTTTATTCTGAGAATTCAGATTCCCTTCTTTATGCGAAACCACAGCACCAAAGTAATGCACCAGTGCTCTGTCCATCCGTCTGTCTGTCTGTCAGAGTGGTTCTCTAATGTAACTCAGACTGTGCTCTTACTGGATGTCATAAGAAGCAGGATGCTGAAATATTGGGCTCTAATGTGGTAGGATAGTGGTCAGGCTTGTCTAGAAAGCCCAGGGGTCTTGCTGTTACAATTCTGAGAGCAATATTGCCTTCCCTATAAAAACTTGTTTTCAAATTATTTTCCCTGAACCTTCTTTTTATCTTGGATGCCAGGAAGCTCTACGCTATCACAGAAACTTAACCCAGCCTCATGGGTACACCTGTGGTCAAAATGACCTGATTCTTTCTTCACACGCTCTTGGGTGTCCATACGTATTTTCAACAGCTTTTACGTGCTGATCTGTATCTGATCTGTAGTTTGGGTCACATGGATGTTAGTAGCTGAATTCTTAAGGCATCTTGAATCCTCTGGGAAGTGAAATGGAGTATCTCTACCTAATGAAACAGGCGGATGCTTCAGAAAATAGAACATGAAAGAAAATAAAGTATAAAGAAAGAAATCGTAACTTGTCTCAAGAGAAGAGATTAATCTGCCAGAGGACTAATTAAGTGTGAGTTGTAGATCAGGTGAATCTCAAAGATGTCTTGAAGAATGAGCAGAACCTGTGGGCAAGGAAGGAAGCAGGCTGTCCGGCCGCAGGGACAGCTTGATGAAGACCCCGGGCTGTGGACGTGAAGGACAGGAGCACAGCCATGTGATTTGATGGACCCACAGGACAGGACACAACAGAGGAAAATGGGAGGGTGCCAAGGGACTGAGAAACCAGAGCATGGCAGACATAAATGAAGCTCTTCGTGAGCCATCCTGTCTCTATGACCACCTCCCTCAGATATTCTGGAATATGGGTTTGAGTCGCTCAGTTTTGAGCTCCTAATCACGCACTGTCCAGTTGTCACTAATTCCATAGTTGCTGCAGAGGATCTGATCTACCTCTGCCAGGCCTGGCCATCTCCTAGGCGAGAGACATATGGTAACCAATGCTCCATGGACACTTCATAGACTGAGTAGAAGGGACCCAGCTCAGAGGAGCTGCATAAGATCCAATTCAAAAAGGTTCAGCCATGAGCACTGGGAGGCAGAGAAAGCAAGACCGCAGGTCAGAGGAGGTTTTATTCCTGGCAACCGGGATATAGTAAAAGAATTCAGTGAGTGGCTGGAGAAGAAGCATGTGGAGAGATGAATGGGGCCCCTCACAGGAGCTGTGTTCAGAGTGGGCTGTCTTGAAAATAAAAAGCACGCGTGCAGAAAGAAAGAGCTGTCTGGAAAGCTTGACACTTCAGTGTTCATTTTGAGGAATGAGACACTAAATGGTACTAGCTGCTCACCCTGAGGTCTGGTTGCATTTGTTCAGCAAATGCAACTTTTAAGAAAGGTAGATGAATTATGCCTTCCTCTTTGTGAGCCTGCTTCGTGAGCATGACCACCAGCACACTGGCAAGAGCTCAAAAGCCACAAGAGATTCCAGAAGCTTCCAGCAAGCACAGAGGCACGCCCATCACAAGAACACTGCCCTGAGGGCAGGCATTTGTGACACTCCAAGACACTTAGGTTGTGTAGAACGTTCTACTGCCATCGTGAGACGGGCTCCCATGGTTTCTAAACATGGCTGCATTCTAGGCAGAGCGGGAAATGTGAAAGATGGAGTCCTGAGCACCACCAAGGCAAAGGTGGCAAAGGTGGCTCTGGGCAAGAGTCGACCAAACCAGACACAGGCCTGGCATTCTTCACATCAATGGTCACAATGGAGTTCAGAACGGACTCCAGCTGGAAGTGAGGGGCTGCCGTGTTCTGGGACAGGTGACACGGAACAAGCATCATGTCTACCGTCAGTGCAAGGCAGCATTGGATAAACTGCATGAGCTGCCTAATACTCTATTATAAAGTAGTATTACAGGACAGGGCTCTGCTGTGGGCTCATGTCAGCGCTCTGAGCATGCTAACGTGGCCTGCACAGCAATGAAATGGTCACTAGGTTGGGGGTAATAAGTGAAATGTCCCCTTACAATACAGTGAATTTTGGACCAGTGTATTGGGGTGTAGCCCACAGCAACTTGGGGAATACACACCCCTGTGTGCGGGGGACATCTCCCTCCGGTCTCAGTGCCATTCAAGTCTTACTGTCATCCATGCAACTTACTCGTCTATTCTAAAGTAGACTCTGCCTTTCTCACGATCCTTCCTTTCTCATTCATGTATATTTGTGTGGACTTTCTTTAAATTCATTCTGAAATCAGAGGCAGTAAATAAATCAAAGTGCTACATGCAAGTATGCATACATACATGCATATACACATACACATGCATGTGTGTGTGCACACATGCATGTTGGCCCAGACATGCTTGCATACATACATGTGGACACTGATACATTCATTCATTCATTAGGTACAGTTTAGGGGTCTCTTATGGTTTTTTAAAAATTATCTTTAAGTAGCTGTACAAAGGAGTTGCCAATCAACAAGGCAGTATTTATGAAAGCAAGGCATCCTGAATCGAAGATGATAGTCTCAAAACCAAGGCTGTTGCAACCGTGCTTTGAAACTAAAGGACTTCCAAGTATTCTGACCCAGACATTGCCCCACTCCTCTGTTTCTTTCCCTCTCCATCTGTATGTTCATCTTTACTGTATCTGGGCCATTCCGATGCCCAGGGCATGGTTCACGGATACACGAATAGAGCAACTGCTATGGAAAACTTCATGGTTTGATTTAATTTCATTCAGCTGTTTTATAATCTGTGTCTAATGAACAGGAGCTCTGGGAACACTCAGAGAATCCTGTATTTGTGTTGTGTGTGTGTGCACGTGTGCATGTGCAGTGGTCTACTGCCAAGCACGCATAGCTGAGGAGCAGGGGTCTTCATGCTAGAGCTGAAGGGACAGACACGGCAGCTGATAGCACCACCTGATTGTGTAATGTGTGTGTGTGTGTGTGTGTGTGTGTGTGTGTGAACACACACCTGAAGCTTGGCCAATAACTGAAAGATGAACAACTTGCAAAATCAGCCACAACTAGCTCTCTTGGCAACATGACTAACTGAATAACTGCCTGCATGGTGTGAAGCAACAGAAGGAGGACACAGGAGAGAGAGGTCTGGCTGCTTGCGAGGCCCGGCTCACGCCCATGCACGCAGCCGTCTCCAATCCGCACTGACTGCAGCCCACATGTGCAAGAGTGAGCGGCCTCTGGCTTGACTCAATTGGTTCTTTGCCTCATCCCTGTAAATCTCAGTTCTTTTGTTCTACATACTTTATGAGGCAAGGTGCACTCTGTGAGGCTGTACAAAAGCAGAATCCACTTTAGGCTAGATGAATAATACACAGAAAGACTCCAATGGCAAATGAGATGAGAGGGAGATGTACCTTGCACACAGGTGTGCGTATTCCCCAACTTTCTATGGGCTACATCCCAATACCCTGGTTCAAAAGTCAAGTGTTACATAGCTTGTGCAATTTATCCAAAGGATATGGGTGATATCAAGGTGTATGGACGGCATGACAGAAATAATCTCAGAGGAAAAGAATTTCCCCCATGAAAAAGACACTGCTCATAGACAATTGTATATGTGTGTGTGCATGTGTATAGTGTGTATATATGTGTATTTGTGTGTGCATGCATGACTGTGTATGTGTTTACCTGAACATTTTCTCTCTTCCCTCTCTCCATTTATTATTTATTTAATGTGTATTTATTCTTCTCAGTCAAAACAGAGTTGACAGCCGTGCATTGCTCTCCCAGATGTTCTGAAAATTGAATGCACACGGGTGTATGTGCGTTTGTCCTTATTTTTCTCACTCCAGGGAGATGAGTGAATGCTCACCCCACGCGGGTGAACTCTGTGGCCGCCAGGCTGGCCCCAGAGGGGTGACCAGGATCTCAGGCGGGTGGGGCAGAGCTCAGGACTGTGACACCCAGGCCACCCTTCGGGGATGCTCTCTGGGAACAGGAGAGGAGCCCGTGTGCAACTGACCTGCTGGTACGATCACCCGGCGCTCATTCGTGGTCATGTTGGGGGGTGCCATGTGCTTCTCCTCCATGTAGCTGCCGTAGCTCATCCCCACCGCGTCCGGACTGCCCACCATCTTCCCACCTTTGGCCACACTGCATTCATCGGGGGAGCTCCTGAGGGGGGCAACACAGATTCTTCCGTTACTATGGCAGCCAATGAGCACAGCCCAGTGGTCTCATGAGAACATGGTAGAAGAGACAGGGGAAGGAAGAAGAGAGAGAGGTGCACCAGGGCGTGAGTACAGTGCATGATCTGTCCATATGAATGCATAGGGATGAACTCCTAAGTGTGATGGGTGGTATTGGAAAACAGCTTGGGGAGGGAGACAGGGTTAGGTGTGGAGGGAGGGGGGGTGTTCCATGTGGTGTTAGTACCCTTATGAGAACAGAGTCCCTGCTCTCTGTCTCTCTCTCCTCTCTCTCTCTCATCTTATCTCTCAGTCATTTGTAAGAGCCTCTCCTCAGCCACAGATCTTGCTAGCCCCTTGACCTTAGATTTCCAGCCTTCAGAACCCCAAGAAATGAACCCCTGCTGCTCATGCCCTGTCTGCCTGTGCAGACTAAGTGGTACAGCCTGGCACCCTCAGAAGAAGCACTGAGCACATGCAAGCTGGGGATGAGGTGCTGAGGGGCACAGATGTCATCGTCTGGATTCTGTGTCCTCAGCCAGCGCCTTCTAATGCTGCCAGGGGTGAACTCCCTCGGTGTCAGCTGACGAAACCCCTTCAAGGAGAAGCTGTGGGCTCTCACTGTGTGACAGTGACAGGTCTGGTGGACAGATGCTGAGGGCTGGCCCTGGGGCCACTCACTGCCTAACAAGGTTCTGTCTCAAATGACGCTCCCCTTAAAAATGCAGAGCGAAATCCGGGGGCTGGATTTCACCTATCTATGGCCAATCACAGGATCTGGAGCTCCAAAGGCTCAGGGTAGTTCAAGTTGAGATGTAGGCAGGAGGGAGGGGTGGGGTCCGAGCTGAAGGAGGCAGCATCAGAGCAGCACCCAGCAGAGTGAGGACCCCAGAAGGTAACAGGAGAACAGCTGGGCAGATGCAGGGAGGGTCTAGCGCCTGACTGGGGCAACCACCAGGGTTATTATTAGTAAAGCAGCCATTGCGATTTAGAGCAAGACAAGCAAATCTTGATAGAAAGAGACAAAAAGTAAAGAAAACCTTAAGTAATATTGGAGCTGGGTGCCTGTAGCTTACCCCTGTCATCCTAGTTACTGAGGAGGCTGAGATCTGAGGATTGCAGTTCAAAGTCAACCCAGGCAGAAAACTGGAAGCGGCACTGTGGCTCAAGTGGTAGAGCACTCTCCCTGAGCTATAGAGCTGAGGTACAGCGCCCGGGCCCAGGGTTCAAGCCCCAGAATCGACCAAAAAAAAAAAGTAGTATTTGAAAGCTGTAGGGCAAGGTGAGATCAGACCTCCTAAGAAACCAACTATAATAAGAAAGCAAAGACATATGTAGAGGCCTTCTGAAGTGGTTAACACACAGATCCTTAGTGCACACCCGGCCCGGTAGCCCCCAGATGGCGCCCCTCGACCACCATGGCAGAGCGGGTCCACTTCTACGATGGATCTCTGAAAATGCCTCTGGAGATCTATCTCACATTAATCATTTTCATTCTCTTGGGGATCTGTGGCCATTCATTTGTCTGGATTTCACTATGTCTGCAGATTTCTATCCCAAGGTTAAAGTTTGAATTGTACTCCAAGGGTGAATCAACGTTCTGTGGTCGATCCACGGAACCACAGAGCTATAGACTTGGCCTTCGAGTCTGAGGAGGTTAAAGCCCTGTGAAGCGAGAGGACACTCTCCCAGCGAGACAGAGCTGAAGTGGGATGGGCCTGGGAAGTTTGGTTTTGTTTTGCTTTAGCATCTGGGCACTCTGAAATGCCAGCTCCTTCTCAGGATCATTTGCCAGTGGTTTGAGATCCATGGAGGAAGCTCAGTATTGAAACAGAAGAGGGCGGTGGTCAGGTGTGGAGAGAGGTTCTGGCCAGGGCTGCACAGGACCAAGGCCCTGCTCTGGGCCTGGGGATACACAGCCCTGTCTGATGCATGCCCAAACAGGGTCCTCCGTGCACTGCCAGGATGAAGGACTTTTAAAAATAATAACTGAGTTCCCATGGAGTAGACCCTGTCCATTTCCACTGCTGCCTTCCTACACATGCATGGTTTCCTCCTGATGCTTTTTTTCCTGGCTGAAAACATTTATCTCTAACAGGCCCATCCTAATATCAAAACACAGAATATCTTCACTTGAGACTTAGTTTCCAGTTCCTCTGGAAAATTCCACCAGTGAATGAAGTGCGAACTGTTCTGGTGTTTCTGTGTCTTCTGTGGAAGAGAGACTGGGGTTTGGTTCTTTAGGAAGGGATCTTAGATGGATTAAGGGTACCCACGTACTGGGAATAACTGATCAGCTCTACGTTTAATCATTCACTCAGCCGCGAAGGGCCTGCTGTATACCAGACAGGCACTATCTCCTCTCTTCTCCAACAAGACAAAATTCATCGTCTGAATGTTAAAGGTCAGAGAAAATCTAGCCTGAAGGAAGCAACAGGTACTGGGGGTTCCAGAAACTTCAGAACAATTCTTCCTTTCATTTCCTTTTTTTTCCCTCGTGGCTGGATCTTGAACTCAGGGCTTTGGGCTTCTTCTACGGCAGGCACTCTACCACTTCAGCTATATCTACGGCCTTTGTACTTACACTATTTTTTAAATACAGTCTCCCATTATGTCCAGGCTGTCCTGGACTGAGACCTTCCTATTTAACTTGGCACGGAGCTGTTATGTGGTATATGCTACATGCTTTTTATTGGTTGAGCTGGGGTCTTAAAAACTTTTGCCCAGGCTGGCCTCTAATAGTAACCTTCCTATTCTCCATCCTAAACAGCTGGGATTACAGATATGAGCTACTGTGCCTAGATATTTTCTTTAACTTCTTAAATAGCATCATTTTCTTTATCTAAGAATTCTAGGCATGGATCACAGGAGTTCTCCTTTGGCATTGAAAGAGATTCCTCATTAAATCTGGATATGATCATCTGTTAAAATGAATTTTTCCAGAGCTTACCAAAATTATGTGCAAATATAGAAAATAGAGGCTTAAGCTTGAAGTAAACCTTTGTTCCTATATTAAAGATGATCCATAGTTTATATTGAAAAGAGCAACGTGAGATCATCAGACTTGCTTTAAGGCAGTTGAAAGAAACAGTGATTCCCACCATGTTTAGTTTGAGTTTGCGGAGAAGATAGCATGGACCCACACAGTTTTAAATAATGCTAAGGAATCTCCAGCCCTCAAATTGGAAAGGGCGGCCCCTAGCGAATCAGTGCAATGCTGGACCCAAAGCAGGTATCGGACCAAGAGTGGTGACCCTAAAGCTGTTCCCTTTTCATGTGTATTTTCCCTTGTTAATTTCCTTAGGGACTTTCATGACAAATAGTAGCATGAACCTATGCAGGCCCTGCTTCGCTGCGGCACACGGGCACACCGCCCCTTTACAGCAAGGGCTGGCGTCATCAGTCATCACGACAGGTGCCCAGAGAGGAACTGCCTGCTGGCGGCAGCCATGGTACCAATCCCAAGCACTGCCTGGCGCACAGAGCCACGGGTTCCACTTGGCGATCCAGATCAGATCTGCATCTCCATCGCAGAGCTTTTCACACATCATAGTAAAGGGCGTCTGCTCATTTATTTATTTTGTGGGTCGTGGAGTTGGGACTCCAGGCCTGAATGCTGTCCCTGAGCTTCTTTTGCTCAAGACTAGAGCTCTACCACTTTGAGCCACATTTCCACTTCTCGTTTTCTGGTGGTCAATTGGAAATAAGACTCTCATAGGCTTTCCTGCCCAGGCTGGCTTCAAATCATGATCCTCATATCTCAGCCTCTGAGTAACTAGGGTGACAGGTGTGCGCCACCGGTGCCCTGCAGGGAATCTGTTTATGTATTCTTGGTGCTTGTGTGTGCACCAGGCAGCAGGTAACCTCTATGGCTGCTCCTGGCACACTTGCCAAGTGGACAATCACTTGACCCACACAAAAAATGCTTGTGTTGTTATTTGGAGCACAATTTCCTTTATTGCAAATGAGCACAGTACAATCTCTGGCTCACAGAGCTGCTGTCTGTCCCTCAAGGACAGATATACAAAAGCCCCAACATCGTAACCACTTTCTCACGGCCACATGGCTAAGTGTGAGCAATTGCTCTGAGCCATCCCATACATTGCGTGGCCCCAGCAAGAAGCAAGAGGGGCAGCAAACAGAAGCTTCTCTCTACCCCACTTGCAATAAACTCCACAGATGGTGCGGCTAGCACAGACGAGGAAGGCTGGCCCAAGATGAAGATGTCTGAGATGGAACTGTGCAATAACTGGGCATCCCAATGCCATACCCCACTCCCTGTCAGCCTGACAATCCCTGGGAACCCACAACATGAGGAGTTCGGGTTCTTCAGAAATCTTACTCTTCTGTGGCATTGCAGCATAGCTGTACTCAGTCCAGACAATGTAGAAAGCATGGATGAGAAAGAAGGAGTGTTGGGCACAGTTCAATTGGCTTTGTCAAGTGGTGAATTCATCACTGCAGCAACTGGGGCACTAAGTCCCAATGACTTGAGTTCCCGAGTGCTGAGTTTTGAACACATTGCCACGTAGAATGAACAGTAAAGGAACGTGGCAAGGAATGCCGGACGGACTGGAAACTGCACTGAGTTTAAATTAAGGCAAGAAGGAAGATATGTTGCCAAGCCTAAAACAGCCACGATATCAGGTCTGGGGAAACCCCAATTTCCAAGTCCCAGAAATAAAGTTGCACGAACAGGTGGTTAGCTCGCTAGAGGTAGATGTGTATGCATGTGTGGTGGGTGACTTTGGATATTTTCCATTTTCCGCTCATCCTCAAATGATGGCATGGACACCTGAAGTGGATTATAAAATGCACATGTAAAAATGATAACATGAATAATTAGTAGACTATTAATGCATGAAAAAAAGCAAAAGCAATCAAGGGATGAAAAAGTAGCCCCACTAACCGGATATTTCTAGTCCATAAGCACCAATTTCTCTGTGAGCCTTGCAGGCTGATGTAACACAGGTAGTGATTTTGCCA